GGATCATGCCGAAGTACGGGTGTTACATATGAGTTGGTTTGCCGTGTTTGTAAATCGAAATATGTAGGAGAGACGTCCAGAAGTGCGTATACTCGTGGTAGAGAACACTTCCATGCTTTAGAACGGCGAGAAGGGAGCTCTGTTCTGTGGAGACATTGTTGTGAAAGGCGTGGTGGAAATGAAGTGGGCTTTGTAATGAATGTAACGGGGGCTTTTCGTGACGATGCAATGTTGAGGCAGATAACGGAGTCTGTACTGATAAATAAGGTTGAAGAGGGCAAGTTAATCAATTGCAAAAGCGAGTGGAATTATGTCAACGTCCCTAGGGCAGTTATGGCAATGTGACAGTTCTAGAGACCTGGTTCCGAGCGGCTACTTTTCGTGTGTTACTACACGACGTGCGCGTTTTTTTCCAAAAAATTTTTCCAATTTTTAGTCTTTGTTTGTTATCAAGTGACGAGGTCGTAGACGAAACTAGTTTTGAAGTTTTCGCAGTAGTGTGTTGAAAGTAGAAGTTAGTTGGARTGTTTTTTTCACTTACATGGTTTATATGGCGTTAAGTAATACTTTCTTGGCTTCGATCAGTATAATTACACATCGAAAGGGAGGACAATCGAAGTTAAAAAAAAGGAGTCGTCAGAACCAAATTAATTTAAGAGGATATAAGTCGTGGAAAAATAATAGAAAAGAAACGCAAGGACCAAGAAATTCTTATTAAATTCGTCATTTATGAACAAAATGAAGGAAAATTGTCAGGTTTCACTTTATGTGAAATGGTTATGAGTCACATGAAAATACATGACAAATATTTACTTCAAACTTAAGAAAGGATTCGATACTTGCTACCAATATCGGACGACCAAGTTGTCACATCTAATTGCAGGTGATGTCTGTTGCGATGAAACTCTCCCGGTTGTGGTAAAATTCTCACTTAGGGAAGATTCAGCGTCCTCCCTCGAGCTGCATGATGCTGCAGGTAACCACGACATTGATTACTGTTGGCAAGCTCCATCTGGGATGACTGAATCTTATTTCCTCGACTTCTTAATCGAAGTCGTAGTAGCAATCGCCTTGGATAAGGTCACCCCCCAGGAAACACAACGATTCTTTGATCTCCTTAATTCAACTCCTGCAACACTTCTAGAGTTACAGAAACGCAATCAAAGACGCAAGAAATGGTATGAGAGCAGTGATGACAAAACTACAACCATTTTACGCAAAAAGCTCGCTGGTTTTGAACACATCATTGAAGTCTTTCCATCCCAGGGAAATATCTCAGACGTGTATCTTCGAATAAACAACGAAACAGATCCTTCCGGGCAGCTACGAAAAACAATCAACAAAAGTCTTCAAAAGGAAGCAACATTTTATGCAGAAAGTGACGCTGAGGATGAAAATGAAGTAAGCCAAGATGTTTATCAGGAAGATATTTACTCTTCAGATGAAGAAGAAGTTGAGCAGGAAGTCCACGGGAGCCCAGACAAACCTTGCTATTATCCTTCGCAAATAGAAACTGCAGCAATATTAAAGAAACGAATTGACACCATTATGTCGCATTACCACAACATTTCAAGACTCAGGGAGGCTTTCAACGACATTGAATTCGTAGTGTACACAGCCCGGTACAGAATGCTAAGCGATCAGACAGAGAAGAGGATCTGTCATCCTGATGCAGGCGTACTATCCAAAGAAGAGCTCGAATTGCGCAAAGGTGCCCGTGACGGAAAGAAACGGATGTTCATGTACGTTCGCAGCACAGAGACAGATACGCATTTTGATGAACTTAAAAGAGATGTTCAAGAAAAACCTCAGACACTGTTCGTCATCGTAGCAGACGAATGCCATTGGGGAATAACCAAAGACAAAGAGAAGAAACCCTCTGCTCACAATCTTTTCATCAATGAATGGTGCAAAGAAAAACCTCCCATAAATGTCATTGTTCTGCAAATCTCGGCGACACCCTTCAACCTCCTGACGCAGAACTCTCGCCTTCCCAAGGTGCCGTGCATTATACTGAATGAAGGCGTCTCCAACGCCCGGAAACATTACAAAGCAGGCGATCTTGTGGTGCTGGCCGATGAACCAGAGCTAACAGAAGAAAGAAACACCTCAAAGAAACTGGAACTTCACGTCGTCCACTGGTCCGAGGGTGAACTTAACAACTTTGAAAGAGGAATGCGAATGAAACTCAGGTCATCTTTAAAGATCGAAGATTCTTTGTACCTTCACGTTTCCACCGAGGGAAAAGTAGGTGTTACATGTGAACCAGAGGAGGCCACGGAATTCATTATTCAGGGTAGTCACGGCATAGTAATTCTCAAAGTGGAGCAAGCATCAGACAGAACGCTGACCGTAACCGCAGATGCCCATGGAAATTTAAAAGCTGATCATCAGGAACCAACAGAATTTGAAATTAAGATGGATTTCGGAGTGGGAGTTGTCGCATTTCGATCCTGTGACGGACGGGATCGTTACATTTCTGTTGACGAAACTGACTATGTCGGTCTGCAAACCGCCAGAATTGAGCGAAAATGTGGAGTCACTATTATGAAACCAATACATAACCTGGCCAAGGTTTCTTTCCAATTCTACACTGATCAATCGGGACCAATGCAGGTCAATCAGGTTGGGAAGCAGTATCTGAGTTTAAACTACTATCTCAGCACCCTAAACAGTCCCAGCAGAAAAGACCAGAAAATACGAGAGGACGGCACCTTTCAAGAAATAGTGGATAAAGCAAAGAGAAAGAGATTAACGTCATTGTCAGACTCGCCTTCTTTTTTTCCTATAGATGCCTTGCTATGTGCAGATTATTGCTACCACATCATCCTGTCGAGCGTTTTCAACAGTGATGACAAGATATGTGAAGCACTGACTCGCGGAGTTGAAGAATCGCCTGCCATTGAATTCCACAGACGTCTCCGATCATTCAAGTCCAAGCTTAAAGAAACAAAAAAGGAAAGGTACATTAAACCGGAAGCTTTCGAGTTGATTCAAAGAGATATCCACGACAGAGTTGTACAAACCTTTAAAGAAAACCTGAAACAAGCAGCAAAGTTGTGGAAACAGAAGTCAATTAAGCGTGATGACAGCAAGTCAGCTATGGAGGAACTGGCAAAATCAATTGTTGCGTGCGTAATGCATCTTCCTCCAGAGGAGTTCCACCAACTCGAACTAGACACACCCTTACTTGACAACCTTAAACAAAAACTGCAAGGAAACCACTGTAGGGTAATGGTCCAAATGTGGCACGGTCTCATTCAAGAACATGAAACAAGTTCCTTAGTGGAAGACTTGATCCAAAGTGGAAAGGGAGATCTGGGAAAAATGAAAATTGTACGAGCTAAGACGATGAAAACTGCGGATCAATTTTATTACACAGTTCAGTTAGCACGACAAGTGTCGGGTTTAGAAGAATGCTTCGAAGTGATCAGAGACTACGGTGGAATTCAAATCAAGAACCAACTTATGAAATCGTCAAGTCCCTTCTTTAAAAAGCTTCAACCCAAAACTTGCACCTACAAGTTTGATTGTTGTTGCAGTGAGTTGAAGCTACAACCTAGACATAAAAAGTGTGCCAACTGTCAACACGTGCACAAGTCCATAACGCAGTATGAAGACCTGGAAAACCTTGCATGTATCCTCATTCTGGTCGATAAAGGTCGTATGGGAGACACTTTTCCCCAAAGTTTTGACTGTCTCGACTTGCGACTCAACTACGATAGCAGTCAAGAGTTTAAGGAGGGCTCGGCAATGTATCTGTCAAGTCTTATTCAAGAGCTTGGAAGAGTGTGCCGTTATGCAAAAGTTTCCACAACTGCGATTCCTTATGTATTGATTGGGCGACAGCTATTCAAGAAACTCCAGATGTCATTGGAGACATCTCCGTCAATGAGTGCAACTTCCTGCAGTAAAGCAGACCGGTATATGACAAAGACACGCAAGACAATAGACACAAAATTCTCTGCACTACGATGGCTCGACTATGAAGCTCATAAAGACAGTTACGATCATGAAAACGTGCAAACACACTGTAACAGAATCCTTCTACAGGCCGAACCTCAGATTGGCAAGACGGGAACGTACTTGTGCCTGATACGAGATTTACGACTTGACATCTTGGGAAAGGAGACAGTTATGCTGGCGTCACCTTCTGCATTTGATGATGGTATCTTTTATCAGTGCAGGGAAAACAATTACCCTGACGAGTCGATACTGAGAGAGAGGGATGAACGCGAAAACTGGCAATTCCCATATTGGAAGACAATCGAAACCTCTCCAAGTTTGTACGACAAACCGGTTGGGACCGGAAAGTACTCAATAGGAGGGTGCTTCTACACTCACGACACGGAAAAAAATCCATTCATTCTTCTTAAGGAGGAAGGGCGGACGCTAATCAAGACTGGTCATCAGAACCCCAAGACTGATGATTGTTCAAATGGCCTCCGTGCTTGGCATTGGTACCATTTCGAGGAATGCGCCGAGTGCGGAAGATTACTCCAAGGCAGAGAATCTATCCTGGAAAATGTGGAGATACACATTGATGGCAAACCAGTCACTGTTACGTGCTCCTTGCCAAGCAATTGTCCGTCATTCACTCAACTACATGAGAAATTAGCGAGCGGTAAATCCCGAGAGAATGGTCTCACTTTGCCATACTGGATATTTCATCCTTCGCATAGAGGTGATCCTAGGAAGTGCACTTTGAACTATCACCACGTCATGAAAGAAGGCGGACGTATTGCAAATTATGTCCAGGTTGTCGTTGTTCGAAGAGAAAAGTTCGAGACTTACAGATCCACTTGGGGAAAAGTGATTGCCATTCTGCAACTTCCAGAGAACCTTGCCAATTGCGGCCTTGCACCAGATGAAGGAGGAATTGGTTACGCCAGACTGTTTATTCAAAAGATTGCATTTTCGCTAGAGCTTGAATACGTCTTCATGATTGATGACAATGTGGTCATGATGTCAGAGGCAGAATTTGCAACTGATGAAATGTCTGGGAAAGAAAGAAAAGTCCTGAGAGATGACAACGGGGTGATGAAAATGCTGCGTTGCACTTTCCTAAAGCCTTTAACAAGTCTTCAGAAAATAGCACAAGGAAAGGAAATTCCACCCATGGCAGACGAGGAACACGAACCTCATCCTTTAAAAGGTGATTTTGAAGCACAGGGTTTTCCGTTGTATACCTACTCTGGCCCTGCAAAGTTGTTTCGCGACAAGCAGCATGGGAGCTATGGTATTCTTGGTCTGATGAGAAGTATCCCAAGAGCTGTGAGACCTTTTGCAAAGACCCAAGTGTATGCTGCAGTCTTGCTTAATGTCAAAAGTACTGTGGAAAAAGGCGTCTTTTACCGTCCATGGCCCTGCTGGGAAGACCTGCGCTTCAACGATGATTGTGACAAAGCAGGTCTATGGGTTGTTAAATGCCACCGTTACTCTTTCTTTAAAGTTCAGTACAAGGACTGGATTGAGAACCTCGTCCTTCCACAAGTCTTCTCTTGGGATGAGAAATGTTCCATCGTGGAAAGACCGGTTGAAAGCGAGCTACCAGAAGCCTTGGAAGAGGAAATTATACTAGAGCACCTTAGCAGCTTTCTGAAGACCAATGGTCCTGACAAGTGCTTCAAAGGGAGAACTGAAGACGTTCGAATGGTGGATGAGGAAGGTGAAAAATCTCCCCTTCCTATTCTCGAAAAACTTGATGTGGGCATTGTTACAGAGGAAGATTTCATCAGGGGAGTCTCGTTCCTTGTTATCTCTTACCATCCAGAAAATCGGAGAAGAGACAATTTAGATCTTCTTGATTCAAATTTCTGTCGTACCAAGGAGAAAATTGTTTTCGTTGCAAGTGCCAAAGAAGTAAACAAGCGATGGCCTCAAATGAATGTACAAACCATATCAACCAAGCACGGTATTTGTCACAATGATGAGATGAGTGACAGAAAGGCACAATTTGCCATATTTTCTGCGGCTGACCCAAAGAGGCACCGTTTGCGTTGGATTTTGATCGAGGCATCCTTCCCGCAAAACGATGACAAAATTAAGGCAGAGACGGGCTCAAGTAATATTGAGGCTTTTGAAAGAAACCTTCAGGACACCAGAAATGTGCTGACATTGGAGGGAAGTTTATTATCTAGGCTGCCCACTTCAGGCAAGACGACGGAAGGAAGGAAGAGATCGCTACAGGAATCCTCCGATGACTGCCAAACATTCAAAAGGCAAAAAATTAAAGACGAACGGCTGAAACAATGCGGTAGCAAACAAGGAGAGACGAAATTGTGTGATGATGAAGCAGTCAAGAGTGAGAGAGGAGGCAGAAGTAAATCTCTCGGTTCGGTCAGCGAAGAAGAGGATCTTTCTTCAGATAGAACATATCTTTCTTATTTTGATGGAGAAGGAAATGTCAAAGTCGAAAGTACCGCTGATGCTAGTATAGTTAGCGAGATTCTGCATTCTCAACGTAAAAGCCAAGGTGATAGAAATGACTATTCAAAGCACATCGAAAATACCAATGATGTAACCAAAGTTATAGTCGATCTTTGGATGGAATATAGGAAACTTCCTGGGAGCACGAAGAAACTAGATCAGGAAACAGAAACGAGCGATCTTACGATGGAACATGTCAAGACCACGCTTGCTCAATTTACTGTTACCCAGCTAGAGGAAAGGGACAAGAGAGGTTACAATGCACTCTTGAAAGCCTGCTCTCTACCTTCTATGAGTCCCCTTGTGATGCAGTATCTCATAAATGATGTGAAGATGGATGTCAACTCTCAGCTTCCCCACAACTTTGACAGACATCACCCAGCAGGGGAGGAGTTAATTCCAGGGATGTCCGCCTTGTCTTTAGCAATTAAGCGTGGAAATGTCAAATCTATCCAAACTTTCAAAAAACAAGGAAAAGAGATTTCGGTAGAAAATTCTGACGAGGAGGGAAACACAGCTCTTCATCATTGTGTTTTATCCTGTTCTAAATTTGCCTTCGAGAAGCTATTCCCTCTATATGAGTCAAAGAAGTGGGAAACGATGATAAACCGCGAGGGAAAGAACCCTTTAGACATTGCCAAGAAGATGGAATCGAGTGGACTGACCAAAGGAAAGCAACGGTCTATTACATCTATGATTACGAAAATGAAGGAAAAAAATAATTCTGATCACTATCAAGAACGCGTCGAAAACGAAAAAGTAAAGAACAAGAATGGCACTCTTGAGGAAGAGAAACCCAAAGACAAGAAGAGTAATCATGTAGAAACATCTCATGACGAAAGTAACCCATGTACCGTCCAAATTAAGCGACAAAAAATTGGTGATTTTGGCCAGCAGCTTGACTTCATTCCCACCACCGGCTTCAAAGAAGAAAAATCTCATCCAGCCTTTTCAGTGAAAAAGGTAAACGAAGACGGTAGTGTTGACGCTGGCATTGACTCTAATTTTAACAACGAAGGAGTTAAGCAAGATACCTCGGGGAAAAAAGCTGATTCAGTCAAACCCTTAGATGTCACCGCACATATCAATGGTACCAACCATGTCACAGGGATTATCGAGGATCTCTGGAGAGAATATAAAGTAAATAAATCGGCTTTTGAGGAAAACGGTAGAAACGACTTTACTGAAGAAGAAATACACAACAAGCTCCAGTATTTCGCAAAGGATCAATTGGAGGAAACAGACGAAAGAGGCTACAATGCACTCCTCAAAGCCTCTTCGTTACCTTCCATGAGTCCCCGTGTCATGCAGTACCTTATCACTACACGAAAAGTTGACCTCAACCGTCAGTTGCCTTCTGAGTTTGATGTGAATCAGCTAACAGCTAAGGATTTGGTCCCAGGAATGTCCTCTTTGTCCGTGGCAATCAGAAAAGGAAATATAAGATCAGTTTCCACGTTTATGAGTAGGTCATTGGAAGTGAATACTCGAAGCTTTGACCTTGATGGGAACAGCGTCCTGCATCATTGCGTGATTTCGATTTCTAAAAGTGCCTTCGACAAAATTTTCAAGCTCTTCAAGCCCCTATATTGGAAAGAGATACGTAACAAAGCAGGAAAGAATCCTTTGGACATATGCATTGAAAAGGAAGAGGAGTTAAGACAACAAAAAAACAAGGATACACCCCTAGAAAAGCTCAGAGCCATGCGCAAGGAAATGGAGAAGGGTTCAGCTTAGAGTTTACGAACATCAGGTGCAGTATGATCTTCAATGTTGCTTGAATTATTCAGTATCATTATTGAAAGTTTGAATTACTGCTTCTCCAATGTTTGGTCGTAGCTTTTGCTGAGACGTCATTTTGTATTTAACGGTAATAACGATAAATACGTATGTTAGAGTGGTAGATAAACCACTGCCACCAAAACCAAATTATTTTTTAAACAGATTGTTTCAAATGCACGCGCACAAATTTACCAGAAATGATTTAAATTCATTTCTTGTAATTACACAGATATAATTCACGGTGAGAAACTGCCATAGCGCAAACATTCTTGAAGATGATGGTGGACATTAAATGAAACCTTTCTATCATTTCCTCTCTTTATAGCCTGCAAGCTTGTGATAAACTACGCCTTACATTCCCGATTTCTCCAAGTGGCAACTGCTATTCCTTGTAAACGTGGATCGAAAACAGCAGCCATCTGACTTCTATGCGAGACATCATTCTAATAGAGTTATTTTCAACTGAGTTTCGATGATAAATCCCCTCTTCCATTGGTTCTGCCCGACCAACCTCTCAACCAATAAGAGTCTAGAGGACTCGCGTGATATTTCCCTTCGTTATGATTGGCCGTTATAATTACTGTGAGTTTGATCTTACGACCTATAGTTAAAAAGTGTTCTGAAATCTTTTGAAGTCTTGTTACAACTCGTAATTCGATTCTTCGAAATTCTACAGACTTCTACTTTTAATCACTTCTCTAGTTTTAACTAGCCACAGACAATTTCCGTGGTGTAATCTTAGTCGTTACTTTGCACTGAAAAGCGTGTGAAAGGACTGATTGTGACAAAACTAAAATATTTTTTAGTTAAAAATGTAAAAGGTCAACAGAGCTGGCTCTTACGGTTTTCTTCTTAAATACACACTCAAATACAATTGGAGAAACTAAATTACATAATGTATATCTTCAAATGTTGTACTTTTTGGCTCCAAGATATTTTCCAAGGAATGTTATTATTTACCTACTTCTATATTCTTAGTGAAAAAAAAATGGATCAACCATGAGACACTCTTGCTGTATTCACACAACAAGCCAGCTTGGTTATTTAAGAAATGAAATATCAGCCATCCCAATCGTTGTTTATTAATATTGGTATAAACATGTAGCCAGTTGTGGAAATCAGACCTTTTATATATATAGAAATAAGTCTTTCTAGGCAAAATGTTGTGCAAACAAATCTAAACCTGTAGACACTTTAGTATGCTGGTGTTTTACAAAGGAAATAGAAAGGCTTTGTAGTAACAATCTGGGCTTACTAAACAGGTTTTTAAGTTGACAATTTGCACTTACAGCTTTTTAGGTTAATGTCGTTGCATGTTATGAAAGAAGAAAAAAAACACTTGTGAAAGTTTAGGGATTTTCTAATATTAAACTTGTCGTGTCGATGACTCCTAAGTGCAAAACAACACTTAAATGTTTTTTATAAGACCAATGAGTTCTGTCATTATTATTACATACTTTTAAAGCTTTTAGTGTCTTGTAGATTTTTATTGATTGTTATACATTTTTGGAAGTTCTAATTAAAGTGGAGAAATGTTTGATGTTCAAGTTTGGGATACAATTTTTGTGTAGGGCACTGTTTTGCAGATCTTACTGTATTAACCCCAATGGTGGGTAGCCATAGAGATTTATCAGAACAAAAGAGGGTGTTTACATACAAAAAAAGGGTAAAATCACAGAGGTCTGACTTGTATACTTGTTATAGCAGCCAAATCATTGTTTACACAGCCAATATGGCCACTCTGATATCATTTCAAATAATCTAGAACAGTTTAGTACACTAGCAAATGTTATTGTATCTACAGCTCACTCCTGGGTTTTGAGTACTTTTCGTTGATGTGTTCATCTGACGTCTTCCCAGAGTAGTAATGATGTGCTAATAAAGCTGCATTCTTAGCACTCACTGCTGACATCTCCATTGCACTTGCAGAATATTCAATTGCATTGACAAAGAAGACTCCATCATCCAAGAGAAATGACCAAAACTTTTCTGGAGGTGTAAAGTGTGGATATGCTAGCCATGATACTACTTTCATCTCATCCACCCTACTAAAAAGTCTATTTAGTTGCAAAGCAGTCAGATTAGACCGTGAAAAAATTTTGCGAATGGGCAATTCCTTTGGATCAATTTCTGTCCTGTTTTCAACAGGTTCCTGCTTGCCAACAGAGTTAAAAAAGTTCATGGGCGTTTCTGTTGTGCCAATCACTTCTGGAATATCATCCTCGGTTGAAAACCCAAAATGAGTCATGTTTACTTGACCATGTACAAAAGTAGCAATTGTACGCCAAAATTCTCCAAGGTCTTTTGGAATAGGCCAGTTGTTGCAGTCTTTGCAATCAAAATAGTAATCTGTAATTTCTAAGGGTGCTGCAACGATGACAACATCATAATGCCGCTCTGGAATTTGACTGTCACTTTTTAAGGTGTAAACAGGGTGCGCAGAACTACCATGACTTCCTTTCACTATCTCTGATATCTTAGTGTTTTTGTACACAGTAGCATTTGAGTTGGAAAGTAACCCATCACAGACCTTCCAGTTTCCTCCTTCAACAGACCAAAGACCACCCTGTGATCCTGCCAAGGACACTGCCCCTTTAACAAAAAAAGATAGAAAACAATTATAATAATGATAATGATGATGGAGATAATGGAATTGTGTATTCTGATTGTCCAGTTAAGGATAGTCATTGAGAAGGACTGTTGATGGTGGTGGTGACTGCAATTTTAACAACTTTAACAGAAGTCATTTTCAGAGTCATACTAACTTTGCTGATGACCTCCACTATGACTGTGGAAACATCAGTTACCATCATCAACTAAATTCCTTCCCAGGGCTACTCTCAACTGGACAACCAGAATACAAAATCACCTGTTACTCATGAAGTCAAACCAAAAACTTTAATGTAATCATGGAATTTAGTAGTGGCAGATGCATGAAGTGGCTCTCCATCTGCACCATTCTGTAATCTGTAATTCTGTAATCTCCATCTGCACCATGGAATGCTACAAAACTGTATTCAATCTAAATGGATTAAATTTCAGTGACTATTTTGAACTTTGTAAAACCACTAAGTTGAGATATAACCATCCATATAAACTACAACTCAAACTCACAAAACTGAACTGCTACAAAAATTCTTTCTTTGTCAGAATTATCAAACCCTGGAATAATCTTCCTATTAATGTATTCAATTTTTGTGACCACCCTAACGTTAGTGAGTTTAAATCAAAATTGAAGAAACATGAATATTTATTGAATAGCCATTTTATATTTAGTTATGATATTTAGCTGCTTCTTATTCGACTTTTTTATATTTTTATTAACTAGTTCTGTAAGATTTTATACATAAATAGGAGACCCTTGATATAGGGTTAACCTCTGGGTTTCCTTTTTCTTAATAACTATGTATTTGTATGTTGTTCTGAAATAAAGTATTTTATGCCAAAAAAAAAAAATTCTCAGTTTTTGTTGAGGAAGGAAAACAGGAGAACATGGAGGGTAAATACCTCACAACAAGTCAGAGAACCAACTGCCACAAACTCCACTGCCAACTGAGCACTCTTAATCCTCATAACAGAGCAACCCAAAGAGTTAAAGGAGCAGTGTCAGGATAGTTTGGAGTCATTTTCTAATGCACAACGAGCAAATTTACCTTAATTTTGACGGTAATTTAAAACATACTACAATAGTTGGGTTAATTTAGAGGGTTACCTCTTTTAATGGACTACTGCCCCATAACTGCTGGCATATTCCTGATATCTTGGGTAAAAGGCAACAACAACTCCCTCCCTCAAAACCTTTTTAAAAATTTCCTTCACAGTTGATAGGTACCTGTTTAAACTCCAGAGTGTATGTAGAGACCCACTGTGACAATAGAGTATTTGGAAAAACAGCACTAATCAAAAGGCTTTGTCAACAAGATCCATTTTAAGAATTTTCAACTTGAGTAAAATAGGAAACCACAATTAAAGTAGCATATGACATGTGTCTGCCATCTTGCTTCTTGATTGAGGAACTGAAGTTAATTCAACTTCATTTACACCAGTAACCAGAGAACCATTCCTCTAGCTCAGACAAGGTAATCAGGCCAAGAAAAACAATAATTTTTGAAAAATTGTCTTAGTTTTTCTTTGTTCCTATGTCTTCAGGACATGCATTGCAATCCCAATGATGTGTATACCCTTAGTAAATAATTCCTTGCAATAAAAAAAAAATTCACCAAAAGTTAACATGTAATATGTCAACTGGTTGCAATGACTTTTCCATTGAAGCCCAATCTGAATTGTCAAACAGGACCACCATGCTTGCTTTATGTGGCCAATCAGAACACAGAATTTGCCTTATCTTGACCACTTGCAGAGTTAACCTTGTAATAAAACTAAATGATGTGCTGAGTCAGACTTCTTACCTGCAAACCCATTTAAAGTCACATCCTGACCATAATTGATCCTCATGACAACTGTCACTAATTCATCTATTAACAATTGATTAAGACCAATATTCTCCAAAGTTTGTCGTGTTGTTTGCTGAGTGTACTCATAAAACTTCTCTCCGCCCATAGCTCGCAACATTTCCGGCACTGTATTGAATGCCTGTTCCTTTTCTTGCAAATCATAAATATTTGAAAAGTTTGTCAACATTTTTGTGATGAAATTGTCCATGGCGTACAGGTCAAACAAGCCATACCGCCAAACAAGCTTTATGAAATTCACAAGTTTCCATCTGCTACCATAAAAGACGAACTCTTCCCCATTATATATTCCAAGGAGGCTGTTAGGTTCACTGCTTTTTAGTTTCTTTAATCCTATTTATGGAAAAAAGAAAAAAAAAAAAGAAGAAAATTAATAAGTATGTCACATACTCCAAGCTTTGACTGTTTTGGTCACCAAGGTGAATAGAAAAAAATTGTCTCCCATAAATTTGCAGCGAACATTTTGGCTTATGTTTGATGGTCATGAAGCAAGAAATAACATTTTTATGGACACAGTGTAAACATTTGCATCAAATGTATAGACAATAATACATGGCCACACATAGATTTGGGATTTCTCTATGAGTGTTCAACCGATATATAACTCACTTACAACCACCCATGTATTATTTCATTGATCAAATAACACAATAGGCCTTTACCAACAAGAAAAGTTGACTTTACTTATTGATGAAATCTAAATTTTTCAAACATCCACCACTCACATAAATGCTGTGGATAAATTACTGGCACTGAAATGATTTCAAGGAATATGAAAGTGATACAAGAGGTGGGTCGTCTGCAAAATTTTCATAACTTTTTCTATCACTTTTTTCCCCTTTTTATTTTTTGCTTTTTTCTATGCATTTCATTTATTCTTTGTCATCACCACTTTTCATGGGTGGGGGAAGAAGTAGGAGTACCTAGTAGTAAGTCAATGTTTGGTTCTTACTTCCTGAATTAAATTTTTCTTTGTTTAATTTTTTTTTCTTCTAAGTAAATCAAGGAAAAATACTTTGAAATCTGACAAATTATCTGCTAACTTAAGCTTCAGATCTAACAAAAGAGGTAAGCGATCCTTGTTGTTCTGTAACATCGAAATATTCAAATAAATAGAAGACTGCAGAGATAACGTTAAGATACCTTAATATAGCGCTGTTACGAATGATCATTTTCTTAAGCATCAATAATCACAAGAGCATGCTTTTAGCAGAAATGGAACTATGACACGCACCAAGATACTCGACGAAGTCTCCCATGTATTTGTTACTCTTATGTATTATCGATCCTCCAGATTCAAACCTTTTCCCGGCAATTTCCATGGTACTCAAACGTCCCCCGATCCTATCTGATGCCTCGTAAACATCAACTGTTGCCTCGGGTCCAAAGAGTTGTCGAATGAAATGCGCAGCACTCGAACCACCAATGCCTGCTCCAATTATTGCAATGTTGGGTTTTGCATTTTTCTCAGCTGCGGAAACTGTGCACCGTTGTCTACCAAGGAACAAGGCTGGTATAAAAAGGAAGCTTGTACTTATGCCAAAACCCAAAGCCCGAAACATCGTTTCTCCTCGGAAAATTCGTAAAGGAACTACAAACTTAATCACAAGAAAAGAAAAGTATAAACCGTGACGTACAAGTAGCTGTACTTTCACCACAAGAATTCTCTTTAGTGGGGGAGGGGTACGGCTACTCGTGGGCCAAAGAAGACGCTGACTGGCGAAGCGTGACACAACCTCTTCATTATTAATGAGCATCCGTTACACGGGGCGGGGGGAGGAGGGCTCGTGACGTAAATCACGTAAAATGCGGGCAAGAACTGGTAAAAATCGTTGTTTAGGGAAGCAGGCGAAAAATCAGAATTCGGAGATATTGGCGGAAAACGAGCTTTTATGACTGTTTATTATTTTTATTATTATTATTTAGCTTTGCACAACAGGAAGTTAATCTGCCATACTTTCACGACCTCTTTCAACGGCCCAATTCATTGACATTGAAAACGGCACGTCCTGAAACTAGTCAATCTTGTTTAAAGTGTACCTAAGAAGAAGAGTCGCAAATTCATCTGCCTCCGTGGCCTTTTTATCTCCAATTGGATTCGTTAATTAAGCCAGGGAATATGATTAGTTACTTGGTCTGAGTTCTTTTCTCGTTGATCAAAAAATCCAAGGATTTCCAAATGATTAGAAAATAAAAGTCGTTGTTTATGCAGGACATGACATAGCGAGCGAGATCGCTCGGTGAAAAGAAGCAGGAGACGATCAGTCTGTAAATCACTGATCTTGCCAAATTATCTTGCCCCGTTTTGTACATTTCAAATGCATTGAATATCGATCACGATTATTTATTATTTCATTGTATTTATATTGATGCGATGCACTGACGCTTTATCAATTAATAAAGTATAAGAAGAGGGAGAACGCTAGTGGTAGAGGTAGAAGGCTAACCGCCGCCTGGTTAGCTCAATTGGGAGAGCGCCGGACTGCTGTGCGGGAGGTCGAGAGTTCAATACCGGCCGGACCAACACTCAGGGTCTTAAAATTTATTGAGAAGAATATGCTTCCTTTCTTTAACATCAAGAAATGGTTAGATATTCTAGTCTTCTCGGATAGGGACGAATAAATGGAGGTCCCGTCTCCTGCAGGGTTGGGGTAGGAGACGTTAATTTCCCACGCACGAGATTACTGTGTGATGGATGTCCTCCCTGGGGTGGGTTGGGTGGGTAG